GCGCTGTCCCTGTGCTCTTTAGCTCAAGGCGAGCGCTCTACCGCTTGAGCCAGTTCTCCACTTTCGGTTTTCTGAGTCGTTTATTGGAGATAAGAGTCTCACTGGCTTTGAATCGAGATCCTCAGATCTCACCCTCTTCGAGTAGCTAGGATTACAGGTGTGAGCCACCAGCGTCCGGCGGAATTTGAACTTTCAAGAGTTATATTGACTGGGCGTTGGTGGCTCACGCCTGTAATCCTACCTATTCAGGAGGCTGAAATAAGGAGCATGGAAGTTTGAAGCAAACACAGGCAGAAAAGTCCATGAAACTTTTGTCTTCAAATAAGTAGACCTGTGGCTCAAGTGTTAAGAGCACCAGACTGGAGGAGAAAAAACCTGAGCTAGAGCTCAAAGCCAGTGCCAATGCCCCCCCCAACCCCGCCCCCAACCTAAGGCAGGGGGTGGGGAGAGGGGGGGGGCAACGATTGTCAGCCTTTTCTGTTTCACTTACCCCAGGGGACTCTTGCCTAACATTCTACATCTGGGCTTGGAATCACTGCAGAAGATAGACATTTAGGCTGAAGTCATGTTCAGCTGTTACCCGTACTCTGCTAATTTCATTTCCTGTAATGGTTTTGCCTGTGACTTTTTTTTTTGTAAATTAAGTGCTGGAGATTTAATTCAGGGCTTCTTATAACGTGCTGCTGAGCTACCTCCATCCGCCTCATTGTGTCCGTGGCCATTTTAACCAAAAGCCTCTTTTTCCAACCCCCTCTTAGGTCTTCTCTCTTAACACATTGTCTAGAGACAGGTAGTAGCCAGTCCTCTCAGAGTTTAGCCTCTAGATTTTCCAATCTGCAAGTGTATCTGCTTGTGTATCTCTCCTTATGAGGATAATCTGACCAACTCATTCCCAGGATGTCTTTTTTTTTTTTTTGCCAGTCCTGGGGCTTGAACTCAGGTCCTGAGCCCTGTCCCTGAGCTTCTTTTTGCTCAAGGCTAGTGCCCTGCCACTTGAGCCACAGTGCCACTTGTGGCTTTTTCTGTGTATGTGGTACTGAGGAATGGGACCCAGGGCTTCATGCATGCTAGGCAAGCACTCTACCACCTAGCCACATTTCCAGTCTCGTGTGCCCCTCCAAACCAGGAACATATTTAACTTTTTTTTCTCATTTTAAAAAATCTCCAGCCAGGCGCTGGGTGGCTCACACCTGAAATCCTAGCTACTCAGGAGGTTGGGCTCTGAGGATGGTGACTCAAAGCCAGCCTGGGCAGGAAAGTCCGTGAGAGTCTTTCTTTTTGTTGTTGTTGGTCATGGGGCTTGAACTCTGGGCCTGGGCGCTGTCCCTCAGCAATTCAGCTCAAGGCCAGCACTCTACTACCTGAGCCACAGCGCCACTTCCTCCGTGAGACTTTTATCTCCAATGAACCACCAGAAAACCGAAGTGGTGCTATGGCTCAAGTGGTAGAGCACTAGCCTTGAGCTGAAGAGCTCAGCGACAGTACTCAGGCCCAGAGTTCAAGCCCAGTGGTGGACAAAAAAAAAAAAAAAATCTCCTCCAGGAGTTTGTGGCTCAAGTCTGAAATCCTAGTTACTTAGGTTAAAATCTGAGGACTGAAGCCAGCTTGGGTAGGAAAGTCTGTGAAGAAGAAGAACAACAACAGAAAAAAAGAATGCCCCCATTCTGCATTCCCTCTCTCTTCCTTCTCTTTAGCTGGCAAACTAGATTGTGTCCTTTACTCTTGTAGCCACTGGAACCTGGCCATTGCAAACCTCTCCCTCCTGCGCCTTTGTGAGGTCCTTCACCCGTTCCTGACAGGCTTCCCCTAGGTACTCTGAGCCCCACCTCTCTGGCTACTTCCTGATTTCTTTTGCAGGCCTCTTCCTTTCTCTGAATGTCCCCTTGAGTAATCTCATAGAGTCCATAATTTTACTATCTGCAACTCAACCCAACATGTCCGCATTTAAACTCACGATGAGTCCTCCACACGAAGATCCATGCCTGATTTATAGCTCCTAACTTCTCTCTAATCTTTTTTCTTTTCTCTTCTTTCTTTTTTTGGGTCTGGTTGTGGGGCCTGAACTCTGGACCTGGGCATTGTCCCTCAGCTCTTCAGCTCAAGGCTAGCACTCTACCCCTTGAGCCACAGCGCCACTTCCGGCTTTTTTCTTTATGTTTATGTGGTGCTGAGGAATCGAACCCAGGGCCTCAAGCATGCAAGGCAAGCGCTCTACCACTGAGCCACCTTCCCAGCCCCTGTCTCTAGTCTTGACCAGCTCTGCCATGGACTCCTAAGGCATCAACAGGGATGTAATTCAAGATTCCTCCCCTCACCAATTCTCTACATTCAATACCTTGTTAGATATCATTTATTTGATGTATTCTCTCATTCTGTGTTTTATTTCTTTTGTGTGTGTGCATGTCTTGAACCTGAGCTGCCCATTCTCGCTTGCCTTTTTTGCTCAAGGTAGAACTCAAGGTTCTACCATTTGAGGTTCTACCATAGAGGTTCTACCTCTATTTCTGGCTTTTTGCTAGTTAATTGGAAATAAGTCGCATGGATTTTTTTCACTTCATTTGATGTCAGTCTATTTGGAGCTTGAATTCATGGCCTGGGCACTGTCCCAGAAATTTTTTGCTCAAGGCTAGTGCTCTACCATTTGAGTTCCACTTCTGGCTTTTTTTTTTTTTTTTTTTTTTTGGTCAGTCATGGGGCTTGAACTCTGGGCCTGGTAGAGCACTCACCTTGTTTACCACTTGAGCCACAGTGCCACTTCCAGTTTTCTGATGGTTAATTGGAGATAAGAGTCTGACAGTTTCCTGCCTGGGCTGGCTTTGAACCTCAACTCTCAGACCTCAGCCTCCTGAGTAGCTAGGATTACAGGTGTGAGCCACTGGTGCCCAGCTTCTATAGACTTTTCTGCTCAGGATGGCTTTGAACCACAAACATCAGATCTCAGCCTCTTGAGAAGCTTGGATTATAGGCATGAGCTACTGGTGCCTGCTGTTAATGTACTCTTTTTTTATGTTTGTCAGTTTGTTTTTATCTCTGCCACAGTTCTCAGCTTCCTTGATCTCCCAGCCAGAATGTAGACTCAACCTCCTTGTTCATCTCCCAGCTTATATGCCTGTGGCAGTGGAAAGCAACTCCACATTCTGATTTAGGTAACAATAATTAGGGTGTAGCTTAGTGGTAAAGCATTTGCTTAGTATGTGCTTAGTATGTGGGAGGTACATGGGAGGTACCAGGCTTCCCAGCACTGCGGGGGGGGGGGGGGGGGGGGGGGGGGGGTTGGCAGTAGGGACTAGGAAAGCCACAAGGAATACTATGATGTACACTGGGCCAGCAGCAAGCAGTTGCCCACCTCCAGGGCCTGAACAGTCTGAAACAAGACAGAGTGAAGGAAAAGGAAAATGACTAGCTACAGGCAGCTTTGGTTGACCATGACTCCAAAGAAAACCAGAAGACAGATGGGGTGGTTCTGGAGTTCAAAGCTTTCCTTTGCCCAACCCCTTCCTTTAATATGCCAGGTCACACCACTCCTCAGGTGTCTTTGTCCACACCCAGGTACTGTACTCTGTTACCTTGTCTGGGCTTGCTTCCAACTGCCATCCTTAGATCTCAGCCTCCAGAGTAGCTAGGATTACAGGCATGGCCCAGGAATGTGCTTTTTATGTTGCTATCTGCTGCTCTTGGTGGGACTTTTTCTGGTTATTCTAATTCTCTCTTACTGAGCCCTGGTCTTTTTCCAGTCTCTAAGACTAACACTAGGCTGACCTTCAAGCATTGTATCCCCAGGAATTATGGCTGGGCTTGTGGCAGAGACTGAGGAAACAATTTAGAAGGACCCACATCTTTCTGACTCCATTAAACCCAAGACAGATTGGAATGGTATCAGCTAAACTAAACAAATATTTCCTTGGTGTGGGGCAAAACTTAGTAGTTGTTTCCATAGGCATTTTTGCTGGCCATCTGAGGGAGATAGTGTGTCTTGAGACCCCAGCATCTGTAGGGGTGCAGAGGGCAGTGGAGGGGGGAGGACCAGGTTCTGATCTTCCCAGGATTGAAGGAAGGAAGGAAAGAAGGAGGGAAGGAGGGAAGGAAAGAAGGAAGGAAGGAAGGAAGGAAGCCTTCAGGAAAATGGTTCCCACGACCAGTGCTCTAAAAAAGGTACCGAGAGTCAACTATTAGGATATAACATATTATAGTTTTTTTTTGTACCATTAGTTGGGTTGGAGGGTCCTCTGCCTCCCCTCTCCCCTCACGTGGAAACATTCACTTGGACCAATGGGAAAAGAACCAGACTGTGTGTATGTATCCCTGCACCTGCACCTCTGGCCTCAAGACAGGAGTTCTTTCCTGCCTCGCTAGCATGAAGATGCGGGGCCATCCCTCAAACCCACCTTGAACCTTGAACCCCGGTGCCTACCACGGAATGATCTGGCTTGCTTTCACCTGACTCACATGGGCGGGGCCAGGGGGGGAGGGGGAGTGTTCCAGCAGGGGAAAGTAGCTACCACCTGCAAACGCCCTCACCCAAGTGGGAAGCGGGAATCCCGGCTCTAGGGTTTGGAGAGCCGCACAGGACGCCAGAGCGTGGCTGGCCACGCACTGCGCCGAGGGCGGGAGGAAAAGGAGGGAGGAGGGAGGAGGGAAGAAGGGAGGGGAGAGAAAAAGGAGGGGGAGGAGAAAAAGGATCGATCAGGGAGGGGAGGGGTGAGGGGAAGAGGAGGGGACAGATCGGGGAGGGGAGGCGGGAGGGAAGCTATTGGGAGAGGAGGAGAGAGGGGCGCGTTCGGGAGGGGAGGAGGAGGGGAGCGATCGGGAGGGGAGCGATCGGGAGGGGAGGGGGGAAGGGAGCGATCGGGGAGAGGAGGAGGAGGAGGGGAGCGATCGGGGAGGGGAGAGGGGGGCCGGGAGCGCGGAGGGGAGAGGGGGGCCGGGAGCGGGGAGGCCGGCCGGGGTTCCCGCCCCGCCCTCGGGGCCGGCGCGCGGCGGCGGGGTGCTGCGGCGGGGCGGCTGCTGTCCGGGTCGCGTCTGGCGCGCGCGGAGCGGTGTCCGTGCAGTGCGCTGGCTGTCCGGGAGATGGCTTCTCCCCGCTCGCCCGCTGCTCCTGCCATTGTCTCCGGGGTCGCCTGATCGCGAGCCGGCGCGCGCTCCCGGCGCCCCCGGTCCATCCCCGGCTGGTCCCCGCGCCCCCTCGCTCGGTGCGAAGCGGAGAGCCAAGCGGCGGGGAGGAGGCAGAGCGCGGCCACCGCACGCCGCGCCGGTGCCGGGGACACCCGGAGCCGCGGAGCCGCCCACGACGCCGGGCTCCGCAGAGCCCGCAGCCCGTGCAGGTAGGACTCGGCGCGCCAGGCCCGGGGGGCGGGGGGGCGTCTGCGGGGAGGCGAGGAGCCCGGGCGGCCGAGGTCGAGGGGCGCCCCCTCCAGCAGGGCATCGACGAGGTGCAACAATGGAAGCGCGGGCACTGCCCGCGGCGCGCGGCGCCCCCGGCCCCGGCGCCCAGCAGGTTGCTCGCCTCTAACCCCGCCGCGCGCCCGCAGCTCGGGGCCTCCCAGACCCGCACCCACCGGCTCCCCCGCATCACACTTCCCAGATCCCGGGTACGGGGCAGTAGGAGCCAGCTAAAGGCTCTGGGGCTTGCTGCTTGCTTAAGAGGAGAAATAAAAAGCAAAATGCGTCCTGGAGGAGGGGTAATGGGGTGGCGCCTTCCGTGCAGAGAAAAAAGTCAGCGTCCAGCCTGAGGACTCTATGCATTTTTTTTTTAAGCCAGGGAGAGTAGAATTGGCTTCTCCCTTATAAGGCTACTGCAGCAAAGGCAGACCGAGAGCTTGCATGGGAGAGGGACCCCGGCCTGAGTTGCAAGGCCCTCTGAGAAGACCCTGTCCTCCTGGCCTGTACTTGTCTCTCTCGCTTTTTTTTAAGCTCCCCATGGCGACATCGGTGGCTTTGATGTGTGTGTGTGTGGGGGGGAGGGGGGTGATGGTGTGCAATCACAGCTGGAAGACCAAGCTAGGCAGCCAAGCTGGGGTGGGGAGCCCAAGGGCTTGGCAGTCTCCTGGATTGTGGAAAGAGGTCACCAAATGGATGAAGTTCAGTGGTACACACACCCTATTTGGCCGAGGTTGGAGTGTGTGTGTGTGTGTAGGGAAGATCTATCATTGCTCCTCTTTCTTCAAGCCAACTTTCTTTCCCTCCAGCTCCACTCTCTTTTGGGGGTCTTTGTGGCTTTCCTGGCCCAATCCCACCATTCATGCTGGGTATGGAATCTATTGTCTCTGGCTGCCCTGATTCCCCCCCCAACTCTGTTGGGGAGTTGTGTGCCCTGGGCTGGTTGATCCCAGCAGGCACCAGAGATTCTTTTACACAGAGATTTATGCAGCTACTCAAACTCCCAGAAGTGGGCCAAGGCTGTCCCTCCTTCCTTCTCTAAGCTACCTGATTGTCTGGTCTGTGGCCAAGCAGGTGTAAGTAATTTGCCCTGATTTCCAGCTGTGAATCAGTCTTGACTGAAAACTTACTCTATTCCTTCCCTAGGAAAGGAAATGGCCCTGACCCCTCAAATACTCTGTGTCTCCCCAACTGTTGCCGTAGGTCCCAGGGCACAGAGGCAGTGAGCCTTTGGAATCAAAGCTCCTCTAGAGCCTGGCAGCCCCATCTGGGGTTGCATCCATGGAAAAATTAAGTCGAGGCACATTTTATAGCTTTGCCTGGCAGCCAGCCTCGGAGGAGACAGTGGCTCTGGGCCGCAGCCCTGGACCAGGGCTGTGGCTGCTTCTCCTCTGGCTGGTGGATGAGGCCAAGGTTTGATTTCCATGGCTCTGGCCTTAATGCTGAGTGTGCATGGGTGTGTGTCTGTGAATCTGATCAAGCTCTCAGGCCTGGCCAGAGGCAGCTTGTCCAGTTTCCTCTCCACTGGATGCATGGATGAGGGAGAGCCAAGGAGGTATACTGGAGTGACAGAGGTCAGTTTATCTAAGCATTTTTCTGGGATGTTCCTTTGCACTTGCCCAGTGATCTGGAATGTCTGTGTTTTGCCATGATGTAGTTTGTACTCTTAGCAGACACTCCACACCCTCGTGGGCCTTTGGTCCCCTCTGCCGTGCCCCCATCCCCTGGAGTCAGAACTTTGCAGTGTCTCCTATCTGGTCCTCCAGCCTCAGACAGACCTGTATGGTCCAGCAGGGGAAAAAATAAAGGCATCTCTGTTCCCTTTGTGTGTATGTGTGTGTGGGGGGTGGTTGTAACTGACCATAAACTTGAAGTACCTCATGCTCCCCAGATGTGAACTTGGATTACAGTGCCATGAGGCCCCATTTTGAGTCCTAGATTGATTTCCTAGATGAGTGTGCATGGACAATTTGGGCACCTCAGATTTTAATTAGCATGTTTGTAAAATGGGGGTGGAAAGTACTTGTCTTGTTGGATTGTTTTAAGGATGAAATACACAACTTGCCTCAAACCGAATGAACAGACTGAAAGGGTTTGGCAAAAGCTCTCAGCGAACGGTTGACAGTACTCTACAAAAGTTGGCTATTTATTCTGGGTTTTAGCATCCGTCCTCTGGCAGGGGGCGGGGCTGAACAGTTTGAGGTGCATGTGAAGTAGGATGAGGGGTGGGGTTAGGGAGTAGGGAATGTTTCAGAACCTTTGCTTTTTGGCAAGCAAAGACTGATTTGACAACACCGAGGAAACTATTTCTTGGGTATTTTTCTCTAAATGGAGTTGGGAACTAGGAGAGAAAAGCTGCTTAATATTTGTAGGGAACTAGGGAGGGACAGATACGTTCCACAGGCTACTGCTGAACTGGCAGATAATTGGATGGCTGACTCTTCCTGAGGTCAGCCATGGAGTCAGTGACAGAGGTGGGTTTTGAAGCAAGCAACCTCCAGGCATTCATACCCTGTGCTCAAATCTCAGTGCCAGAGGTATTGGTATAGGTGAAGCAAAAGGGCATCAGGATTACAGAATTCATTTGTAGTGGGTCCCTTAAATGTCTGGTCACCAGACAGAGACCTCCTTAGAGAATAAACTTCTCAAGGACGGGGCCCAGGGGGATGTGTCTTCCACCCAGCCCTAGTGCACCCTAAGAATCACCCTCATCCTTGGTTATTTGGGGACTGAGGCCCATATATGAGAATTTTTTGGGCTCCTGCCTTAATAGCTCTCTTCTAGTTGTTTTTTTTTAATCCTTTCAAGGGAGAACAATTGGAATAATCAGATGAGGTCATTTGGCCACCTCCTAGGCCACTCTAGTAAATAGATTTGGTACTGGGGGAGGGAAGCTGGGAAAATGAAAGCAGATTTCTTATTATATCAACTTGTTATATGTTCATCTCAACATTCTTTGTGTTTTGTTAAGATGAAACTTGAAGGGTGATTCTTATAGCTCCAATTAACCACCAGAAAATCCAAAGTGGAGCTGTGGCTCAAACTGGTAGAGCAAAAATTGCTCAGGGACAGTGCCCAGGCCCAGAGTTTAAGCTCCACAACCAGCCAAAAATAAATAAATTGTTAGGAATGGAAAAGACCTTGGAGATGACCTCATGGAGAAGTGGCTCTTTCAGGTCACAGCAACCCTGGAACTCATTCTGTATCTCAGGTCACAAGAGAACCAGTGAAAGGAGTTGACCTTTGGCACTTTGCACCACCTCTGTGGTTTCCTGGTTGAGAAATTCTTTTCCCTCTGAACAGGGTATGGGAATTTACTCACCAGAGATGAGTTAAGGAGCTTGCAGACATTTGAGCAGTCTTCCCCTTCTTGTCCTGAGAGCTCCCCAGGGAAGCTTCACCTAATCGTGCATTTCAAAGGAAAGTCAAGGTCATTTGCCTCTCTGGAAACTTCCTTGTGTCTGCCTTCTACATCTCTGTCCGTGGGGTCTGTCCTAAAAGTTAGATGCTACTTCATCTCTGACTGTATCTTCCTCACCACAGAAGTGGGGACCAGGCCTGAGGCCCGCTCCACATATATGGTTCATTCCCACGCTCCACACCCATCTAAGCCAGCTCACCTGAAATAAACTTGAGTGGAGGTATTCTTGCCAGCTGAGTCCTTTTCTGGGATGAGTTACTATGCCTTGCAGCAACTCAGAAGGTGAAAGGGTGAAGGAGAAAAGTAGAGGCCCAAGGAGAATCCATTTTGAATAATAGTAATTATTTTATCTCAGTACTAGGGCTTGAACTCAGGGCCTGGGCACTGTCCTTAGCTTTTTGTTCAAGAGTGGTACTCTCCCACTTGAGCAACAGCTCTACTTTTGACTTTTTTTAACTTTTTTTTTGTCTTTTTTTTCTTTTTTGGTACTGGGGATCGAACCCAGGACGCTGCACTTGCTAGGCAAGCACTTTGCCACTGAGCTACATCCCAGCCCTACTTTTGATTTTTTGATGGTTCATTGGAGATAAGACTCTCACAGAGGGGCTGGGAAAGTGGTTCAGTGGTAGAGTGCTTGCCTTGCATGCGTGAGGCCCTGGGTTCGATTCCTCAGTACCACATAAGCAAAAAGAAAAAAGCCGGAAGTGGCGCTGTGGCCTGAATAGCTGAGGGACATTGCCCAGACCCAGGGTTCAGGCCCCATGACCGGACCCCCCCCCCCAAAAAAAAAAAAGTCTCACAGACATTCCTGCTTGAGCGGGCTTTGAACTGTGATCCTCAGATCTCAGCCTCCTGAGTAGCTAAGATTATAAGTATGAGCCATCAGCACCTGGCTTTGTTTTGAATTGTTATTACAGTGTGTCTTGTTCAATAGGAGAAATAGGTAGGAACTCTTCTTGTGCAGGTGGTCTAGATAATAGTAATGTTGGAACTTCTTAGAGCCCCACTTACCTGTACACAGAGCACATGTCACATCCCTCACCTGTACCTAATAGGGGGAAAGGAAGTTGGAGTGAGTAGACTTGATTCTTCCTTAGGAAGGAGAGATTGTTTCTAAATTGGGGGCAGGTAATGGGAACCTGGGAGAAGGCAGTTCTATGTTTCTGAAGAACATGGTAACCAGGGAGGTGAGAATTTCCACACTTGACCTTAAGAAGGCAGAGCGTGATGAGGCTGCTTACTGGGTGTTCTGGAGTTCTCCTTGGTCCATGTGAGGCTTACCTACCTGCCATGCCCAAGGCCCAGATGGAGGAGTGATGGCATTGCTTCCTGTACTTCTGTGCACACCCTCACTGTCTCTCAGAGACAACTTTTCCAGACCTTTCTGTAGTCAGCTGGCTCTTGTGGAAGGTCCATGTCACTCAGGAATGGAGTCTTCTTGATCTCTCAGGTCCCTTAGCACTGCACAGAAGGAGCAGTGGTTCTCTGGAGGTAACCTGACCTAGACTCAATCTTGTGCTTTAT